TGCATGACCTGGGATGGGGGGGTTTCTTTCCTCTCTGTGAAGTGAGACTGGAAAGTGCACCTCACCTCCCTGCTATCCATGTGCAGAGAAAACAGGTAGGAAACATATGTGAATGTCCTCACACTGGGCAGGCTGTGCACACGGCCAACAGTAATGTCTGCTAATATATTAAGTACCCCTGTCTTCACACTCGGTAGATTTCATTTCCTTTGGAAACAAAAGCATCACTTCTTCTCCAATGCAATACCTTTTTGAATTCTATTTTAGAGTTGAGGCATTCCTAAAGTATCAAGTTTCTTTTAATTCAGCAGTCCCTCTCACAATGCCTTGTCTCCCTACAGCTGCAATTTACTCATTAGCAATAAAAAGTTCCAGGTCAACAAGACACCACATAGGATCCAGACTGTCTGTATATTTTCCATCTTTATGTGGCTTATACTTTTTTGTTTCTATTCTTTAAGACCTTTTATCTTATTTTTTTGCAAACTACTTTATGTGACTATCTATACACATTTTCTTTTCTTTTTTTATACCTGTGCACACACATTTTTAAACACATTGTAACCTGTTTTGAGGTTTTTCTCCATCTGGACTTGTCTTTACTGCGCACCTGCAGCGTTGTCTGACTGTGGGAGATGAGCTGTAACCTGCCATGTCAGCTGCTGCATGGCTCACCTTAGTGCACTATGATGGCAGCTGGCTCCAGCCTTCAGGCAGCAGCTGGTATCCACGGTTCTGTATGTTGACAAGCACTGAAATATTGCAGGACTAGGAAGCTACATTCAGCCCCTTATCCAGATCCTTCCTTAGATTTCTCAGACACTATATTTGGATATGCAAGCCCCACATTGGGTGCCATGTGTAGTAGCCTCTTTTGGACTTCCAGCCCCCAAATCATGACTCAGAAGCTTATTATGAAAGCTTGGCCTTAGCTTAGTCTTGTTTCTAACTTGCTCTTATAACTAAATCAACTCATCTCTATTAATTTACATGCTGTCATGTGGCTCATGGCTTTTACCTCTCTTCTTGCATGTCCTGTTTCTCTGCTTCTGTCTGTGACCACTGCTTGCTTCTTCCAGAGCTCTCTCTCTGTCTGTAAGTCCCACCTATTCTATCTACCTAGCTATTGAACATTTTTTTTATTAAACAAATCACAATGATCTATCTCTCTACAGTGTAATCAAATTTCTTGCAACATAGCCTGTGTCTCTTCTTGAGACAAGGCTAATGACCCATGTTTGCTCTCCAGAGCTCACAGAATGGTGGAAGCTGGGAACAATTCTTGAAAGTTATCCTCTGACCTTATCAGGCGCATGGTGACACATGTACCTGTATTCAGATATGAACATTGTACACATACAATCACAGAATAATGAATAAAAACAAAAATAAAAGAACAATGTTTCTTAGGCTATATAGATTTTAGACTGTTTAAATGTGGTTTCTTGCCTCCAAGATGTTAGGGAAAGAAACAGTTGGACTATAGGAGAGACAGATACCCTCCATCTCATGTTTGGCAAGCTTACCACACTCTAAATTTCAGTGCCCCAACTCTATCTCCAAACCCTATGCCTCATGTGTGCAGCTCGACATAGTTTTGACTGAGGAAGCACATGTTTCTATAAATAGAGAACTGGCAATGCCCATTGTCTTCTTTGCCACCAGGAGCTGTCTTGCTTCCTCTTTTTCTATGTCCTAGTGTCCTTGAAGGAGATTCATACAGGAAGGGGCTTTGCTGAGATGAAATTGTACAGAGGACTTGTACCCTGACTAAATATAGGAGCGGCTGTTCCAGGACACAACCTCCTGGGGGCAGCAGTGAGCAATACTCGTCCACCCTGAGGGAAGGTGCAGCCATTTGCTGCTGTCTGAACTAGCAGGTTTGATATGCTTCTTTTCTGAGCCTGTTAATTGTCAGGAAGGTGGTTTGAACACCTAATTTTCCAGTGAAAGAAACAGGATTTTCAGAGGCCCATCACTACCAAGGTCACACAGTGTAGAAACCCAGTGTTTTGTCCTTCCACCCATATCAGGTTGAGGCCAGCTTGCAGGGCAAGCCTGTCCCGAGGGTTGTACATCTGTTTGTTCCATGGGGCCCATCGTTTGAATTGGTCTTCAAGCCCTGGGCCCGTATGATGTTTGATGGGCTCCCACAGAAAGAGGTGGGAGCTTGAGTGAAGCTTAACAAGCCCTGGGTGCCTGTCCTCAAAGTGAAGTGGCCATAGCAAAGGGTGCTATGACCTTGTTATTCTGGGAGCTCAGGAAGTCAGAGCCCGCTGTGGCCTTGCCAAGCCTTGCTTCTGTATGCAGACTCTCTAACTGTTTGCATACCACCATGTTCTACAAACCCATGAAAACCCTGTTCCCAGGTATGGGCACAGAGCCAAAGGTCATGAT